TTTTAATGTTTCTTCTTTTGGCATGACTAGTCATCTTTTGCAAATACAGTATGCCTTTATTTACCCCTTTTTGAATTCTTTATAGATTCCTCCTGGATTGACTTTGAACCATAAAAGGGTTCGCCATTAGCCACTTTGTTTATTTTAAATTTAGTGTTTACCTTAATAGCAGTGATCTACCCTTTAAAAAAACCTTTAATTTTAGAATCATTTTGAACTCTTCATTTAAATAGCAACTTCTGTTGTGTGCATTGTCATCCCAGTCAGCAAGCTTTTCTATTTATGGACTGACTTGTGTTTCCATTTTTTAATTTCTGCAAATAACTCCTTAGTTGAAGTGTCTGTTTATTTTAGCTTGAAAGTCACAGCATTTATTTCTAATTTATTTCTGCTTTAAAATACCTGGTTGGATCCAGGATTGGACTGCTAAGAGGAATTAAGCTTGATCCCACCACTCTGCCTTTATGCCCATTGGATAAATAGCTAGCAAGTCTGCTCAACCAGGGACAGGCTGCATGTGACATTTCAAATGTGGTGCACTACAACATCCCTAGGAAGCATCACCTACAGTTGTGGATAGTGAGGTTCATAAATCAGCCACATCTGGAATTGTTTGCTTTTATATATTTATTTATTGTACTTACATGCCGTTGAATCATATAGAATTGTGTGTGTAAGCCTAGTTTCTGATAATTTTGCCATTATTTTAAATTCATGCATGTATGGTCTTTATCTAGATCTAGTTCTTAGTTGTGTTAATCCTCCGAGTACACTTGGAATACTGCATCCAGTTTTGGTCACCACGATGTAAAAAATATGTTGAGACTCTAGAAAGAGTACAGATAAGACCAACAAAGACGATTAGGGGACTGGAGGCTAAAACATATAAGGAAAGGTTGCTGGAATTGGGTATGTCTAGTTTAATGAAGAGAAGGACGAGGGGGGACAAGATAGCGGTGTTCCAATATCTCAGGGGCTGCCCCAAAGAAGAGGGAGTCAAGCTATTCTCCAAAGCGCCTGAAGGCAGGACAAGAAGCAACGGATGGAAACTGATCAAGCAGAGAAGCAACCTAGAACTAAGGAGAAACTTCCTGACAGTTAGAACAATTAACCAGTGGAACAACCGGCCTCCAGAAGCGGTGAATGCTCCAACACTGGAAGTTTTTAAGAAGAGACTGGACAGCCATTTGTCTGAAATGGTATAGGGTTTCCTGCCTGAGCAGGGGGTTGGACTAGATGACCTCCAAGGTCCCTTCCAACTTTATTATTATTATTATAAGTTGCTCAGCTTTTGATCAGTGATTGAAGTGCTATATAAGCCTAGTTAAAATTAACGAATTCTTTAAATCAGACATGTCAAACTCGTGACGTCACGTGACGTTGCGCAACATATTGGGACGGTTTTGGCATTGCCGGGCATAGCTTCCGTGTGACGCATCCGGTCCACGGGCCAGCAGTTTGACACCCCTGCAAATCATAGTGGCTGGCTTCTGGGTGGGTTTTCTTTTTTTGGTTACCTGAGGGATACACATACTCTTTGACTTACAGCCACCTGGTTAGCGATTTTTCAAAGTTAGAACGGCACTGAAAAAAGTGACTTACAAGCGGTCCTCACATGACTGATGCAACATCCCTACAGTTCATCGAAATGTGGGCAACCGGCATGTATTTACGTGTTTTGTCCTGGGAACACAGTGGTAATGGCAGACTGGGTGGGACTAAAATGTTCAATCAATCAATTCCAACGTTGCAAGATTTTTTTTTCCCGCGAGAAGTTGAAATTGACTGATTGATTGAATCTTTTTTTTTTTTGCACATGGCAGCAGAGGTCTAAAGCGAAAAGGTTTTATAAAACCCAGCTGAAGGCCTAGGACTGGGGCAATGACACGTGTGCCCACAGAGAGGGCTCTGAGTGCCGCCTCTGGCACCCGTGCCATAGGTTCCCCACCACTGGCTCATAATGGGATAATGGCACTGTACTGCTGGAATGTCACACCTCGCTGCCTTTACATGTTTTGTATTATGCAAATCCCTAAAATTGGGTTGCCTAAACTAGAGGTTTAGAAGGCCAGATCCTGAAGTTGAAACTCAAGTACTTTGGCCACCTAATGAGAAGGAAGGACTCACTGGAGAAGAGCCTGATGCTGGGAAAGATGGAGGGCAAGAGAAGAAGGGGACGACAGAGGATGAGGTGGCTGGATGGAGTCACTGAAGCAGTAGGCATGAGCTTAAATGGACTCCAGAAGATGGCAGAGGACAGGAAGGCCTGGAGGAACATTGTCCATGGGGTCGCAATGGGTCAGTTAACAACAAAACAAAAACAAAAAAAAACCAAACAAAATGGGGATAGATAGATGGGGTCGCGATGGGTTGGACACGACTTCACAACTAACAACAAACTAGAGGTCCCCAACCTTGTCCACATTATGACTTGTGGACTTCAACTCCCAGAATTCCTCAGCCAGCCTGGCTGGCTGAGGAATTCTGGGAGTTGAAGTCCACAAATCAAAGTGGACAAGGTTGGGGACCCCTGGCCTAAACCATGGCTTTTCCGAGGACCAGGCATAGGTGGTTTGTAAACGCAGACATTGTTTTCTTACAGAGGGCTTCAGAGGGGCAGCCTCATTAATCCGCGGGGGCAGAAGCCAAGCGTCCTTACTACGCTGTAACCCCAGCGCCTTCCAGATGTGCTCCGTTCGCCCTTCCCAAGCAGGGTGACCAGCCCCTGGGGATTCTGGGAGTCGTAGTTCCAATTCGTTTGGGGACACCGACAAGGCAAGGCAGGCTTATATAACACAAGAAATGCCTTGGCCGTTCAAGAGCAGCAAGCAGCGCTGCTGTTTTTAACAGTCACGTGGTTTTAACTGGGAGGGGGGGTGGAGAAGAGAGAATATCCATCCACGCGTTGAAACAGGCACGCATCTTCCTCCCGCAGCGCCCCAGCATCTTTCACCGCGACCTCCTCCCTCCCCCCCGCGGGCCCCTTTCTCCCTCTCCATCGAGCCGCAGCACGTCCAGCCAATCAGGACCGCGGCTTCGGGAGCCCATCGCGTTCTCCCCCCCCCCCGGCCTCTCTGATAAACAAAAACGGGCGGAGGAGGGGGTGGCGCTAGAGCCCCCCCGCCGCGAAGCTCCGCCCCCGAGGGCGGAGCCCGGCTGGAACGGGCCCATTGAAGAGAGCCAGAAGCGCGAAGAGGCCGGGCGACCGGGGGCGGGGCTTGAGGGGGAAAGGCGGGGCCAGGACGGGGAGGCGGGGGGAGCCGCTGTCGCAGTCGAACCCAGCTGCAGTTGGTGCGGTTGGCCGTTGGTCGCCTCTGCCCGAGGCTTGCTGGACGCGATGCCGCCTGAGAGCGGCGCCCCGGGGCTGGCGCGTTAGGGCAAGACGGGGCGGCTGCGGCGTCTTGCCTTTGCCCGGCCGGCCGGCGGGGGCAGCTTCCTTCAGGCCCGCTGCCTTCCTCCGCAGCACAGTCCGGTGGAAAGAGCAGCCCCTCCCGGCGCCTGCAGGGCCACCGGGAGCCCTTGGCCGTCTGCGGCGAGGACACGCCGGCACTCCCGCCGCGCTCATCCCAAGAGCGGAGGAGGAGGAGGAGGAGAAGACATCCAGCCGCGGGCGGTTTCTGAGACTTCGGCGCCCGCCCGGGCGAGACCGGCGACGGATGCTCAGCCAGCGAGCGCGGGGCGCCTAATTCCCCCCCCCCATCTTCCCCAGCGCCGCGGCGGAGCCTAGTGCCAGGCGGGAGACCCCCGACCCTCTCCGCGGCGCGGCTTCCGACTCCCTCCCCTCCCCATGAGCGAGGAAGGGGAAAAAGTTGGGAGCCGTTTCTTCTTCGCGGAGGAGGAGCCACCGAAGTCGGAAAGCGCCTGATCGGGCAGCCAAAGGAAACCACAGGCGGACGATTCAAAGCCGATTCCGGCCCGGACTGGCGTCCCTGCGGGGCCGGCCGGCGAATCTGGCCCCAGGCCAAGCGGGGATGCCTCCCCTCCCGAGAGGCCGGCGGGATCGGGGCCGGCGCCGCCGCTGAACGCTCCCGCGTGTCGCCCTGCGTGGCTCTCCTCCTCCTCAGCGCCTGGGTGGAGCCTCCCCTTCGCCGGCGGGAGGAGGCGGCGGATGCTCGGCTTCTCCCTAAACAGCCGGCTGAGTATCGCCGGGAGGAGCCGCGAGGGGAAGCCACGAGGATGCCGCTGGGGGCCGGCCAGAGCTGGGGCTGAGTCCGGGCAGGGGGCGGCCCGACGTGGATGGAGAGAGGGACTGTGGCGCGACGTCGGGGAGCGCGCGGGGCGCCAGGCGGCACGCCCCGACCCCTGGCGCTGAGCGAGCAGCTCCGGCTCTTCCTTCCTCCAGAAATGCTGCATCATGAACCCGCCGACGATCCGGCTCTGAGCCCCGAGCGGCCGGAGAGCGGCTCCCCCGGCGCCCGCTAGCAGCGGTGGGGACGGGCCGAGGAGGAAAGGGAGGCGCAGCCAGAGGGAGACGCTCCGACCCCCCCGCCCTGCCTCTATCCGGCCGGGGTCTCGATCGCATGACGGCGATGCTTCGGCTGTAGGTTCCGGGCAGGGAGAGGCATTCCGGGCCCCCGAAGAAAAGCAAAGTGCCTGCAAAGCGGAGGGAGGGGAAGAGGAGGAGGAGGAGGAAGAGGACTCGCCCCTCCCCGCCCTCTCCCTCGGAGCATCTCACCCGACAACTCCTCAACTTCTCATCCAGTCGGCGGAGCCGCTTCTCCGGGGCGGCGAGAACTTCTTCTCCGTCCGTACGCGCTCGTGGCTGGATCTGGCGATTGCGCGGCGCGTTCAGACGAACGGGAGACGACACGCGTCAAACTAACTAGCCGCGGCTGAAGTCGCCGAGCACCGGGACGCTCGCAAAGCCCGAGACGGGGATAAAAGCGGCTCCGGTGAGGTTCTTCCGTCGGCTTCGGAAGAGCCGTCCGCCTCGTCTGGGGCGCCTGGTGCCTGCTGCGTGGCGGCCCTCCGGCCCCTTGGACGGCTCTCGCGGAGCGCCCATGCTGCTGCTGCCGCGGAAGTGGCCGGGCTGGCCGCCGTCGGCGCTGCGGCTGCCGCAGAGGTTCCTTTTCCTGCTCTTCCTCTCGGGCCTGCTCACGCTCTGCTTCGGCGCCCTCTTCTTGCTGCCCGACAACTCCCGCGTCAAGCGCCTCTTCTTGCCCCGCCGCGGCGGAGCCGAGCTGGAAGCGCCCCGCAGCCCCCCGCCGGGAGCCGGCCTGGCCCGCCACCTGCCCGCCAACGCCAGCCCGCCCGCGCCGCCGCCGCAGCCGCTCTCCCGCCGCCTCCGGGACCCCGCCGAGCTCCCGCCCGGCGCGCACTCGGATCCGGCCTCCCGACGGACCCGCCCGCCGCGCCTCCCGCCCGGCGAGCAAAGCGCCTCGGCGCCCCCCTTGCAGCAGACGCGCGCCCCGTTCCGATTCGACTACGCGGCGTTCCGGCAGCGCCTCCGCCACCCGCTGCTGGGCGGCAGCAGAGGCGGCGGCACCGAGGAGCCCGACACCCGCGCCCGGCGGCTGAAGATCAAGGAGGTGAGTCGGGCCGGCAGCCCCTCCCGAGGCCCTTGCTGGGGGCGTCCGGCCGCCTCTCGCCCAGCCCGCCGCGCCTCTTTCGGGGAAGTTCCAGGCTCGGCCGGTTCGCCCCTCGCCTGCTCCGCAGAGCCCCCCGCTGCGGTTGGCGGGCGTGATTTGGGGGGAAGCCGTGGGCACGTTGGTTCGTGGAGCAGAGCACAACTGGGTGCACACACCACCTGTGTGCGTGTGTGTGTATGCATGAATGCCTTTGAAGGGGGGGGGGCTTAGTTTGCAGGGGTTCCCTTCCCCGCACATTGGTTTATGTTCGTCAGGGAGGTTTTTTTTCACCAGTGTGGTTTCTCGGTTCGAGGCACTAAAACCCAGCCCGGATTGAATCGGCCGCTACAATATTCTCGTTCAGGGCTTTTGCAAAACCTCTTCCGTTACTTGGTTCTGCCGTTTTATGTGGGCTGTTTGATGTGGGTTCTGCCGTGGTAGTGTGTTGGTCTTTAAATAAGTTCAACATTAATTTGGACGACTGGGGAAGGGCAGCTTCTGACGGTGTTGCTTGTCAAAATGTATTCTGCTTCATATCCATCTTAATTGATTTCTGTGTTGTTGTGGTTCTTTGGGTAAGAAAATAAAAGGTGATGGTGGGAAGAGAGTTGCAAGCAGATGGTGATGTGGACTCTAAATAAATCTCCATAGGATTCTCTAAAAAAAAGAAAGAGATAGGACACCATTCCTTTGAAAGCCTTGCCCAGAAGTCTCCTAATCTATTTTTTTTCTCAAATGCTTCTGTTTGATAGTTTTCTTTGTGCTTCCTAAGTATACATGGAAATTATGGGGATGGCAGACTAGAGTGTACAATTGTGGGTAAGTATGCACGTTGGGATTTTAGTAATTAACGTGTATGACACAGGCTAAATATATCCTTACGGTATTTGGATAGGCACCTTAATTGATTCCACATGCAATCTATGCTGTGGGTATTTAGTGTATCCTTCCCCCTGTATTCCCAAAGACAGGTTCTACTGAGGGTGCAATTTAGAGTTGTCGCCTGTAATTGTTGACATTTTGAAGTGGTTGGCAAAGTGTTTCTGAAGTACAAGCATATCTCAGTTTTATTGCTCCCTGCAAATATATATATACACATACATACATACATACATACATACATACACACACACACACACACAAGACTCTCCACTGGCCAGAGATTATGACTTGCTGAAGGTTCAAATGATTAGTATTTTTTAGCAAAAAAGTATTTCTTTTGTAATTAAGTTATGTACTTTGTTGAAGCATAATGCTATTGACATACATAATAGATGGCAGTATAGCATAAATATACCTTTTATATGCCCTGGGAAACCAAAACAGTTGTCAGACTTACTTTATTGCATTCTTCGCTTTATTTTGGTCGGGAAGTAAACCCACAATATCTCCGAGGCGTGCCTGCGATAGAAGCTTGTGGTCATTCTTCCATATTGTGCTTGCCTTTATTATAGTTTGGCCATCATTCCTCGACTTACAACCGTTCATTTAGTGAATGTTCGAAGTTACAGTGGCACCGAGAATGTGACTTATGACCATTTTTCATGACTGTTGCAGCAACCCCAGGGTCACGGGATCAAAATTCGGCCACTTGGCAACTGGCTCATATTTGTGACGGTGGCAGTGTCCCTGGGGGTCCTGTGATCACCTCCTCACAAGCAAAGTCAATGGGGAAGCCAGATTCTCTTAACAACCACGTTACTAACTTAACAACTGCAGTGATTCACTTAACAACTGGGATGAGAAAGGTCATAATATTGGGCAAGACTCACTTAACAGCTGTCTTGCTTAGTGTGGAAAGTTTGGGTTAAATTGTGGTAAGGACTGCCTCTATAAAGCTTGCTATAACATACCAAGAAAAGATGTGCATATTCCTTTACGTGTAGTTTTTTTTTTTTTCCTGCCTCCTTTTTATATCTGTCGCCATCTATTGATTTCTTGCTCTTTCATCACTTCTCATCTCCTTCAAGTCGGTCTTGATTCTTGGTGACTACGTGGACAAAAGTCTCAGCAGTTCTCTCGGCAACATTTTTCAGCCATTGCCTTGATAGGAAGATTGAGTGAGTGGGACTGGCCCAAAGTGACCTGCCCAGGCTGTGGCAGGACAACAGGGCAGCTGACAGTCTCCTGGTCTCTCATTTAGTGCTTTTAACCCCTGCACCAATCAGTTAATCAATCTTTTTCATTGATTAACTCTGGTTATAAAACAATTCCCTTTTCTAGTTTTCTATCTTTAATCTACCTACCTACCTACTTAACTAGTAGTTATCTATCTTTTCTATTCTTTAAATCTTTGGGTTTTCATGCTCGAATAATAATTTTCCCAAGATTTGAAGGTGATATAGTAGAATAGGAATATGCAGTCTGATGCCTTCCAGATATTTGGGATCAAAAGCACCATTAGGATCCAGAGCAGGCATGGTTTGTGGCAGTTGTAGTTCCAAACTTTATGCATCTTATAACAGCCTAAGATTCTTACTGTTTTCTTCCTTTGCATCTCCTTTTCTGGTGAAACAAGTGACTGGGGTTTTGTTTTTTTTTGAAACGATACTGAAAATTCAGAATTTATTTGACCAGAAACTAAACTGGAACAGGACATGACATTTGCATTTTGCAGGTTTGCTCACTTGCCCTCAACTAAAGACACAGCTGTAGTATCACTGTAATTGCCTTTCCTTCTTTTGATTTATACTTATATGCTACAAGATTTCTTTCTGGTAACTATTACCTAGGTTTCATTCTTTCCCTTTACTTTCTGGCTTTTCAAAGAGCCTTCTTCTGTATCTACACTTTATTTTTATCCCAGCTTCTGCCATGGGTATGTTTCTATTCCCCTCTACTCGCGAGCTGTCCCGTTCACAAAGCACAGCCCTTCAACATTTCTCCTGTTTCCGTAGAACAGACCTAAAAGAATCCCAACAAGCTTTTAAGTGGACGAAATAAGGCAGAATAGCTGCCAAAAAGTAACCTCAGCTGGGATGGTAAGAGAAAAATATTGCAGAGGTTGAAATTTCACTGGAGAGGCAATTGAGACCAAGGGAACTGAAGTAGCATACAATGATTGAAATTGATAGGGCAAAAATCCTGAATGGTCATTAAAATTCAGATTGGATTGCATCCAGCTTGACATATGGGACTCCTGAATTCTCTGCCCCTTTTTTTCCAAACTGATCTCTTTTCTCCAATTAAATTTCTACTCTTTGCAATATGCTGTTAGTATGACCTTCATGAAAAAGGGGAAAACCAAGTTATAAGTTATGACCCCCTAGTTCAGGGGTAGGGCAACCTTGGCTCTTTTATGACTCGTGGACTTCAACTCCCAGAATTCCTGAGCCAGCCATGCTGAGGGGAAAGGGAGAGGTTTCCAAGCTGAGCCATGCTGGCTCAGGGATTCTGGGAGTTGAAGTCCACGAGTCATAAAAGAGCCAAGGTTGCCTACCCCTGCCCTAGTTGGAGGTGGGTGGATTATTAATCTGGAGCTGTTTCTAGCATTCAGAGAGCCAGAAGGGTCTGCCCAGAAAATGCAAAGCTCCAGGTGACTCAGGCAGGTGAATTCATCCCTAATTTACAAGCTGGTGTTTCTCAATCTTAGCAACTTTCTAATGTGTGGTCCACACATCTGAAAATTGCCAAGGTCAAGAAACACTGTTATAGAATAGTTTTTTCAGTATAGTGCATGGGCTCTGAAGTCCAGAATTTTCAGCCAATTGCCTGGCACTTCTGGGACATGATCAAGTAGGGGAAAACTTATGGGGGAAAGCAACTTAGAGTTACTAGTACCTCTAAAGCAGGGGCCCCCAACCTGTGGGCCACAGGCCACTAGTGGGCCCTGAGAGGCTTACAGCCGGGCTGTGGAAATGGCCGGCGAGCACGCACGCACGAATTCATCCTCACTTGCACAAGCAGTGGGCAAGCACACACTCCATTCAAGTGAGCGGCAGATGCGAGTGCACACTGCTTCTGCAAATGGAGCTGTGTGCACGCCATTCACGTGGAACCATCTCCTCCCCCCCACACACACCTGACCGCAAAGCCGGAACGATTGGGGAACTCTGCCCTAAAGGACAGGAACGCTCTTTTTTGCTGGTGCCATGACAACCAGGGAGAACCTGTACCTGAACAAAAACTTGTTCTTCAGGTTTTCTCAAAAATAAATGTCATTTTGGCCTCAATGTTATTATTATAAGGGTAATCTACAATTTAATACACAGACTGGTGGAAACATAAACGTCCTAACCAGGTAGCGTCTGAGGATTAGGCTAATCTAAGCAGTGTTGGTTGTTGTTACGGTAAAATTAGGGTGTTCAGGTCTGGTAAATTTAAACTTTCTAAATATCAAAGGAGTCCTATTGCTCTGAAGGCTTCAATCGTGATTGGTGCAACAGCAGATTTCTTTTTCCATAAGTGTTCAGCTATGATCTGCAAGTTCCATTGCCATCATCAGCCATTCAGTCACGTCCAGCCCTCGGCCACTGCTCTTCAACATCTTCATCAATGATTTGGACGAGGGGATAGATGGGGAGATCGTCAAATTTGCAGACGACACCAAGCTGGCAGCAATAGCCAACACTCCAGAAGACAGGCTGAATCTGGACAGACTTCAATACTGGGTGCTATCTAACAATATGGAATTCAATGGAGAAAAAAGTAAGGTTTTACATTTAGGCAAGACAAACCAAATGTACAGGTATAGTATAGGGGGTACCTTGCTCAATAGTAGTAACTGTGAGAGGGATCTCGGAGTCCTAGTGGACAATCCCTTAGACAGGAGCCAGCAGTGTCATGCAGCTGCCAAAAAGGCCAAATGATATAGGGTTTCCTGCCTGAGCAGGGGGTTGGACTAGATGACCTCCAAGGTCCCTTCCAACTTTATTATTATTATTATTATTATTATTATTATTATTATTATTATTATTATTATTATTATTATTATTATTATTGCTACTACTACTACTACTACT